TGTCTCATAGTGGGGCCGGCCATGTGGTCCTCTCTGTATATTGGTTGCTCTGAGTGGGGATATCGTCCTCAAGGCTTGGTGGGCCAGGATATATTCCACTCTCTCTTCCTCCCCCTTCATTTGCTTCCGTATGCTCTGATCAGACGTGTCCCTCTCCCTGAGCTGTAGCTTCAATGCTGTCCTCTGAAGTAAATTCTTCTGGGGGGAGGGGTGGCTGTCCATGTAGTTTGGATTGAGACCGACCGTAGGCCTATTTTAAGTTAAATTTGTATGCAAGTTAGGTTTGTATCTGACATCAGTTAATAAAATATTTGTCTTAGTAATTAGGGTATTTTCAAAAATGCATAATAGAATGTATTAATGTGGTAAAAAAGAACACTTCCAGAAATACTAAAACATCTCCAACAAAAAATTAGTACCGTAATAATGGTTTGATGCCCTCATTTGTTGTTATGAACCGTTGTATGCATCTTGAATTTTTAATAGATTTCTTGGAGGTAAGGACCAGGCACTTAAACACAGTTGAACATTGCTCTGGAAGGCTATTTAGTGTGACATCTTCTTTACAAAGGAGTTTGCAAATAGTTGCTTAGCTGCTGACCCCAAAATTGGTAGTTCAGCTTCATCCAGAGGCAACTCAAAAGAAAGACCTGGCAATCTATTTCTGAAAAATGAACCACCCAAGCCCTGTGGAGCACAGTTCTACAAGCACACAAATGGGTCACTATGAGTTGGAATCCACTAAATGGCTTAGTTTTGTTTTGTTTTTCCTTTGCAATGCTGAAAGCACAAGAGAGTGAAAAACAAAGTTAAATTCCATAGTTCCTGTCACAACTGATCATCTTGTTTGGCAAGGTTCTTTGGCCTTTGCTCGCTCTTCTGCTGCTTGAAATAAAATTGACATGTCTTAATATCAATGCCTTTATTTCTTGCGATTTTTTTCTAATATGTGGAATTTTTTTACCTCATTATAGCTTACCATTAAAATAGTATCATAAATTATATAGCATCTTATAATTAAGAAGATATAATAGATCCTTTACAATTGTGTGGTTGTTCATTGCTTAAAGCTTATTTTTGAGAAATGAATGTTAAGAATTGTAATATCACACATTGGAAATCTGTGCAAAGTTTGTAGTTTAAATTGGACTTTTAATAAAGAAAGTGAAAGTACGCTTTTTGCCCCTTCCAAAGTGAAAAGTA